AAAAGGCAACGAGCTATAATACTTCCAACCTGATTAGTCACCTGAAACATCGCCATCGCTACGATGGTGTGTTAAAAGCGTACGAAGACGCCTGCGCTGCTAAACTAGCGGCGAATCCAAAGCCAGCTGCAAAGGCACCGGGGCTTTACCTATCGACGAGGCTTTGGAAAAAGGCAAGAAGTTTGCCAGAGACGACCCCAGGGCTAAAACGATCTCTAACTTCATCATAGAAATGATGGCGCCAATTGTTCATTCATTGTTTTTAACCGATAATAATATAATATATATATATATTAAATTAATATATATAATATATATATTTTTTTCTTATTATCGGTTATCGGTATCGCTCTTGAGAAGCAGGAAGTTATCGGTATCGGTTTCAAAAAACCAATATCGTGCATCCCTAATTTCAACGAAAAATAACTGGGTGTTTTCTTCACAACCTGCAGCTTTAAGGACGGATTAACTGTGTGTTTACCTCATAGATTGCATGAAATATGGACGTAGTCTCTGTGATGTCACCATAAGAAAGTAATAATAGATAGTAATTACTGAAAGCCCAACAAGTAGAGCAGCAGCAGCTAAGGGATATTGTAGCAGGCTCCTAAAATGCCATTTCTGTTTCAATACTTATTACATAAAGTTCCTTATTTTCTTCCTGGTACAAACACCTTATGGCACACCGACTGATGTCCTCATGCATGCAGACTATTCCTCCTCTACAGCTGCTGTCTTACTGCTCAAATCAACACACATTAAAAAGAGAAATCCTGTGTTTCTTTACTGTAAATGTGAAGCTTTGCTGTCCGTGCATCGTGTGTTCTGCACACCGTTGCTCTTGAAGGGATAACACATCTCGTGCTCCGACCTGATTATTTCCTGCGAGCTGAGGTTGAGAGATATCTCCATAAATACAGTTGTTATTTCTCACAGCACAGTCTGTCATTTACACATGCAGCAGGTTGTTACATTCCCTGTGTGGCGCTGACACGGCCTGCTGCTGCTGTGAATGCAGAGTGCCGCTTGTGACAAAGAAGAGTGTGATTGCTGAATAGTTATCAAGCATCTGCTGCAGCTGAGAATGAAATGGGGGGTGAATTGTGTTAAAAAATATATGTGTGTGTGTGTGTGTGTGTGTGTGTGTGTGTGTGTGTGTGTGTGTGTGTGTGTGTGTGTGTGTGTGTGGGTGGGAGGGGTGAGTGTGTGGGTGTTTTCTCGATGCTCAAAGCCTGAGGTAGTGCTCGTTTGAACTGTGTGTGTTTTAAGAGCAACATCCTCACTTGCAATGGACTGAGCTGCACACCAATCTTCAGCAAATATTGACTCTGTACTTACACTGAATATAGATTCCTGTGTGCGTAATGAGACTTGAGAGTTGTTTATGCAGATAGGGAAGATATTCAATGGATAACGTATACTATTTCTTTATGTTTCAGTAGCTAGGTGACATTAATCTGTATGAAAATAACCATCATATTGTAATTTTAGGCAATTTAGACCCTCTTTCGGGACGTTTAGTTCGGTATAGTTTTGTCCTAATTCGCTTCCTTGCTAAGAGTAAGATAGAAACGGAAATCACGTCTAAATATGAAGCTGCAGCCATCGGTTACACAAAGTCATGAGATCTATACGTTTGTCAGATTGTATCCCTCCTATATCAATAACCCATTCAATCCAGTGGGTCGTCCCGCATTAAAAAGAAGCACTAAACTAATGCTGCTTGAATATCACTGCTGCCAAAACAGCGATCCCATTTTAGGATATTTTTTCCTCGCAGCAATCTCAGACATTTAAAAAGCGCGGACCTGCAGCCTGCCAGGTCACAACGACTTCCTCCCGGTTGCTTCCAGCACGATACAATCATAGGCTGTCAGAGAGAGAACTTTTTTTCCAACTTTGTGCGAGACGTTTGCAGCAAAAGTAAGCGCCTGTTTTCTCTCTCTGGGTTTGACAGGTGAGAATTATACGGAGTCCTTGTCATCTGCGAAGAGAGAGAGAGAATTCTGCGAGAGGAGCTATTTCAGACTCTGCCTCCATCTTTCGCTATCACGCGTCTCCATCTGGTGAAATCTGTAATGCTGTTGAAAAGTATTATGTCAACAGACTGCGGCGATTGATATTGACAGGAAGGAAAATAAAGAAATGAATGGATTTCAGCTTCAAGCGCTTCATTCCAAGCAAGAGATGATGGCTTTATTTTCCTTATTCCCTTAATGGAATCCAGTTTGCAGCGAAGTGAAGTTTGTGAATTAATAAAAGACACACACACACCGGGTCTGGTTACCTTCTAGGAGTAAACCAAAGAGGCGTAAATGTACAAAATATAATGCAGAAAAAACGAAGAAACAAAAAAGGGTCCAATCTGAACACTAACGGATTATAGATTCTGGGTGTTTCTCAATGTCGAGGATGCTTGCTTGGTAGCACATGTCTTCCGAGTCACTTGCTTCAGAAGCGAGGCAAGAATCCTTCCTGGCATTCGGAAAACGAAGAGTGGAACAGGCGAGCAAGTGTGCAGGTGTGCTTAATATGAGAGAGGCCCCGCCTTACATTTTCCGCCACAGATTTGGGGAAATTGGTCCGTGTGCAAAGCATTGTGGGGATTTTAAGACCGCGGAGTCTACACATGTGCAGCCTCGAAATTACCCCCAAATCAAGGACGCGGCCTCGGTGGAATTCCAAGTATGCTGGACATTGGAACAGTCCTTCGGCGGCACTCGATGACGTAGCATGCTTGAAATAGTGGCTCTGGAGCATCCTTACTCGACATTGAGAAACACCCTCTGTCTCAGCTCGATGGAGTCACTTGTAAAATGCCAAATAACTTGCCGTAACACATGATTGTTAATGCATAAAATCAGTGTACGCTCCCATGAGATTGTTCTCAAAAGACAGAACATATTTCATATTATTCGCAGCTATAGCGAAGTTGAAGCTGCATGCAAAGTCTCTGTTATGTTGTTCAGTGTTCTTCTGCCTTATTATATAATAGTAAATCTAAATAACACACTATAGGTGTATGCATGTTTCTCCTTGTTGCTTTGCAAGTGTCCGTAATACAAGAGTAGGTCAGGTTATTTGTGATTTAATGTGTCTGAAACTTAGCAGTATACTGGATCATGTATTCAAGTTTCGTTATGTTTCAGTAGCTAGGTGACATTATGTTGTATAAGAATAATCAGAATATTGTAATTTTAGGCAATTTAGACCCTCTTATGGGACGTTCAGTTTGGATTAGGGCTAAAAAACTATTCTTCAATCACTATTTCTAACGTTTTATTTTCGTTACTTTGTCCAATTCATTCTCGTTACTCATTTGTCTTTGTATCGCCCTTCGTCCTGTGAAGTTTGAGTGGGTTATGAAGTATAAAGTCAAAGAGATGGAGGGAAACATGGTTTAAATCAGTGGTTCTCAACTGGTGGGTCGCGACCGACCCGTTTCGAGTGGGTCGAGGACCCGTTTCGAGTGTGTGATGTGTGAGTGAAGAAAAAAGGAATTTAATTTTTTTTCTTTTGGGGGGAAAAAGTCAAACTTTTATTTTGAAGGCCCAATTCTCTAACGCTGTGCATGCAGTAGGCGTTGGACTGGAAGTACCGGAGACCAGTAGTCACGTAGTGATCATCTTCTCAATAAAACATCTTTGCTGATGTTTTTTCGAGTCTTCTGGCCAATCAGAATCAAGATTGTTGCCGGAAGTCCCCACGGAGAATAAGCTTTGCGGTAGAACTCTTCTTTATACATCCATGGGTACAACTTCAGATAAAAATGAACACATAATGAAATATGACCCCCGGTCTGATGATTGACAGGTCACAGAACAATGGGAGCTATCTACCCTTACCCACAATTTAAAGTAAGTCACAGACTATCTCCTCTTTGCTCTTCTCTCTGTGAGGAGCAGCAAGCTGTCAGAACTAAGTGAAAAACAAACAATGGCATAAAATATTATTAATATGTCGGGTAGTAATAGATTTATTTATTTCCTACTCAGAGTGTACCAGAATGCATAGTTTATGTTAGTGTTTCTAAAGTTGGGTTTTCAGCATGTGTGCCTTTTTATACAGTTCAGATTTGATTCCATCATCTCATTAAACCTTTTTTAACAGCATTCTTTATTTCTGTGAAGGGATATATGCACTGTACTTCACTTTTATTAATAATGTATGCTGAAAAGCGTATATATTACTGCAGGATTTTTTGTTGAATAGATTTGAGTACTTCAAAATGTTGGGTCGGGATTTATTGACCAAGTGAAAAGTGTGTCCCGAGGCCTGACCAGCTGAGAACCACTGTTTTAAATGATGTCTTTAAAAAGGCATATTTCAACATCTAGTGTTTTATCCTTATTCGCTTTCTTGCTAAGAGTACGATAGATACGGCCAATGGTTAATCTAAATAAAGCACGATATGGTTAATGCATGTTTCTCCTTGTTTGTTGTATACAAGTTTCGTTATGTTTCAGTAGCTAAGTGTCATTTTAGGCAATTTAGACCCTCTTTTGGGACGTTCAGTTTGGATTAAGCTAACAAACTATTATTCTGTAACCCAAGAGGTTATTTGTGATTGAATGTGAGTCTTACCTGACGGAGCAGTAGAAGAAGGCCGTTTGACGTTGCACATCTCGCAGTACGGCATCAAGCCACTATTGGAGTATGTGCAGGACACACAGCTCCACTCAGACGTTGGTCCGGTCTCCAGAAGTTTCCGTGGGTTCATGGAGAAGAAGCTGGGGCTGCTGGGTAATTTCCCCCCGGCTGAAGACCTTCTTTTACCCCCACGTTGAGGCCTGAGACTGGGGCTCGGCTGTGGGGTCCGCAGCCTCTTCACCTGGGGGGAGAAGTCCACGTCGGGGATGGTTTCGGTTTCTTTGATCTCCTCTCTTTCTTCAGAGTTCGTTCCCTTGCCGCTCGTCTCTGAAGGAGATGTTTCCTCGTCTCCTGTCCTCTTCCTCTTCTTCTCCTTATTGCCGCCCGGTGAGAAGAAGGAACGAATGTCGTGCTGCTTCTCCTTCTCAAACTGAGGGGAAAAGGAAGCAGAGAGAACAGGTTTCTTCAATTGAAAGATTAAATACAGCAAAAGATCCAAGAAGCAAATCTCAGTTTTATAATTATATATCTTACTTTTACTTCTGTTTTCATTTCTATTTTATGTTTGTTTATTTTTGACTCAAACTATTGTCTTAACATGCTGCTGTATGGAAAACATTTCCCAATTTGGGATCAATAAAGTATATCTTAATCTTATACAGACTCTGTGATGTTATGTATAAGATAAGATGGTGCTTTATTGATCTCAATTTGGGAATTCTTTTGCGGAAATGTATGAAAATATGCAAGAAATATTGTTTTTACAGAACGACTATGGGCAGTCAATCTTAATGTGTTCCTTTTTGGATGATCTCAGCTTTGAAAAGAGGTCAAATAAAGCAGTCTTTTACGACAGGTGAACTCACATGAGTGAAGAAGACGTCCTCTTTGTAGTCTCCGCTGTTTCTCTCCGGCGGCAGAAGCATCTCACTCGGTTTCCACGCGTCGGAGAAGTTCAGAAACTCCCATTTGTCCTTGTCGCCCTCGTCGGCCTTCAGATATTCCTTCCTGCCATTCAAGGTGCTGCCGGTCACCGTTTCCTGAAGCACACGCAGAATATTTAATGCTCATTTCCATCATATTTCCATTTATTTTACACATAGCATGATCTGTAACGAGCAGTTGCAAACACACATGGACGATATTACAGGAAATGTCATTTTTAAGTCTGTTTTTGATGCATGCAGTACATAAGCTCAATATTTAAGAAAATACACACTGATAATAAGTGTTATTCAAGAAGCAGCTGCATATGTTTTCTTCATCACTGTCCACTGATTAGCTGATCAATGCCAGAATATATCAGCGAGATCACACTCAATTAAAGCGATAATTAGTTATAATTATTCTTAAATGTTTGGTGAGACTCCAGTGATCTATCATTCAAATGAAATGTGACATTGGTGGAGTGTGTGCTGATGAATCAAAAGGCTTGGCAGGGTGGAAAAAGTCCTTAAGTAAAAGTAGAAATAGTTTTAAAATACTCCATTACAATTTATTTAAGTAGAAGAATTATCAGCAGAATCTACTTCTAGTTTCAAAAGTAAAAGTAATCAGTATGCAGAATAGCTTTTTACGGCATAAAATAACATGAAAAACAAATACAACACAGTCATTCTCCAATTAAGGCTTATGTGGCTCAACATTTTTTGAATGTACTTCGTCATATTGAACAAGTTGGGGAGTAGATATAATGTACTGTATATGCAGCATAACATGGAAATATAAAACTAAGTTTGTCAGATTTGTGCAATATCAGAGTTAATTATATACTTTTCTAGAAGTTGTGTAAACAAAAAGCAAAGAACAACTTCTTCTACTTCACTTTTGTGTCATTTTTTGTTGTTATTTTTACACTTTTTAAGGATTTTAATGAATTTCTTGTGAGAAAAAAATCCTGTCGTTTAATTACCAGCTTCCAAAACTAAAGGAGACCACTGTTGTGCTACATCATTGGTCGTCATGGAAATACTGGCTCGTTTGACTCTGAGCATTCCATGTTACCATAGAAACAAACGGACACTGTCCAACTGTTACTGAGTCAGTGTGAAGCGAAAAGAACACAGAAAAAAGAAAAAAAACACAAGGTTAAACCAAAAAAAGCGTGTATTTGACCACAGATAAATAGTGTTTAGAGTGTGTGTTTTAAAACAAAATGCATTCTACACTGTTATTGGTATAGCTTATCTGCAGCATATGTATGTGTGTATGTATACAGTAGATGTGATCATAGGTATTTGATGCATTTTAGTAGACCATTGTTTCATGTGTATGCATATATTTAGCTTTCCACTTCTAAATGACAAACATTACTTGTGCATTGTCGAAACGCAATAAAAACATTTTTGATCAGAAAGTGTGTTTCGCTCCACCCTTTTGCACACGGCACCTTTCTGTTGAGCATGGCCCACATGACGGTGTCGAAGGTGCCCTTGGCGATGAGGTAGTGCACGTTAACGGAGGCCGTCTGCCCGATGCGATGCGCTCGATCCTCCGCCTGCTTTATGTGTCCGGGGTTCCAGTAGAGCTCGGCAAAAACCACATGGCTGGCAGCGGTCAAGGTCAAACCCTGGAGAAGGACGACACACACACACACACATCAGAGAGGGCAAAAGTACACACATCCTTTACTCAAGTAGAAGTACAGATACTCGTGTTTAAAAATACTCTGGTGAAAGTAGAAGTACTGACTAAACTTCTTTACTCAAGTAAAAGTAAAGAAGTATGGGCTTTGAAATGTCCTTAAGTAAAAAGTACCCATAACTACCAGCTGTTTTGATCGTGTTCAAATCAATAGGCACGCAATGACTCTAAATAATAATGATCACGCCACCAAACACACATTCAGACTAAAGGAACCAGCCTGTTTGGGAAATGTAAGAAGTAGAAAGTACAGGTATTTGAGTTCAACATGTGAGAAGTAGAAAGTACAGGTATTTGAGTTCAACATGTGAGAAGTAGAAAGTACAGGTATTTGAGTTCAACATGTAAGAAGTAGAAAGTACAGGTATTTGAGTTCAACATGTAAGAAGTAGAAAGTACAGGTATTTGTGTTCAACATGTAAGAAGTAGAAAGTACAGGTATTTGTGTTCAACATGTAAGAAGTAGAAAGTACAGATTTGAGGAGTAAAGTACTGATACCAGAAAAATGTACTTAAGTACAGTAACAAGTATTTGTACACTATTTCCCACCTCTGTACACACACACACACACACACACACACACACACACACACACACACACACACACACAA